GAGTGACATGTTCAGGGAAATGGGGATGGAGGTATATGTTGRTAGCTGCTGTATTATTCCATTAACAATATTCTGGAACACTTTGAGATAATGAAACAAATAGTCATTGACTTGCAAAATGAGATCTTTCCTTCTCCTTGTGTCTCTGTGGCCTTCCAAAGAGGTAACCCCCATCAGCCTTTCATATCCCCCACCCCAATACCTTTCTCCCAAGTACATTTGCTTTTTCTGGAGATGGTTATGAAACAAGTGTCCGTAGCATTCCCTGTTTTTCTCCTTTTGGCAACAGCTAAAGTGAGAAGAGTAGGCAACTCTGTGCTTACTTAGAAACCAATAATAATTAAAGAAAGAGGCGGGAAAGTACGTCCATTATAAGCTTTTTCTTTTTTTTTTCTTTTTCTCTTTTTTAGAATTTAAGCTTATGAGTTTATCTACGCCCACTATATTCATAATTACAATTTAATATTTGCATACAAAAGCTATGTAAAAATCCATTTTTCCCAAATATACAAATTTTCTTTTTGGATAGTTTAAAACATTTTGATCACAGATTTCAACAGAGTTTTAGGCTGAGAAAAATATTACCAATCTAGCAATATCACTTAACACTGTTTGCAAAACACACATCTTCCAATGGCTGTTCTTTTCTATTCTGTAGCATTTTTCTGATTATCAGGGCATGAAAACATTATGGGGGGAAAGTGTTTTCTCTGAAGAAGGCATGGTGGAGAACTCATTTGGATCTGTGATGAAATTAAAGATTTTAAGTTCATATGGAAGGAAAGAAAAGTGGGGTGAAGTCCTGTGAGTGCATTCATGCCCTGATAATTGCCGTATCAACAATACACGTGTTAAAAAGTCGTCTTTTGTCTTACATTGTGCTGCATATGTACATGAGTATTATCTGCATCCTGAGGAGGACAGATTTATATTTGATTGTCTTGTGCATAAGGTGGGTCAGCTTTAACTGTGCAACAGAAAGCCACAAACAGCGTTATTACCTGCACGATATTGCTCTTGAAGGCGGCATTAATTAATGTGGAAACACACTAGAAATGCACACTTTTTGCATTTGCAAACATTTATACAGCACAGTAAAAATTCTGTGATAAGGCCAAACCTTTTTTTTCCCCTTGTTTTTTTTTTTTCTGTGTGTATGTTTTTTAACTTTTTTTTTTTTTTTTTAAAGATTAAAGTAAAATGTTTCAATTGTAAAAAATACACACCGGGCAAATCCTTACCTGGATAATAAATATCTACATCACAGTACAATAAAATTTCTTCTCTATAAAATTTAAATATGGATTATAGTCTATCACTATGAAAGAAACACTAGGCTAATATTTCCATATTATTAAAATAACAGGAAAAATTACGAGCTTATTTTAGAACCTGATGCCGTCGTGGTTGGAAAGGGCAAAGAGATTCAAATGTGTCATTGCTCTCCTTTGGAGGAGGAGCTGTGGCTTGGTTATTCACTTAAACATTAAGTTCTTGAAAAAGGTTTAGCCTTACAAATGCTGGCTACATTTCAAAAACCATAAGACCGATTTCATAATTTATGACTCATGCAGCAAAAGGTCAATATGACACGAATAGGTTAGAGTTCCATAGAATAAAAATGTATCACTGACAAGGACATGCTTTGGGGGTGCTCAGCAGTTCCGTGGAGGCTGTCTGGGGGCTTAGTGTCGAGGAGGGGCCGAGGCTGTACACCTGTTCACGGAGGAGCAACGGGGAATGGGTTGCTGGAGCCGAGCTGGGCCTGGCAGCCCTCTGGGTGATTGCACTGCAGGCTGAGGTGTCCCTCGGGGCCCAAGTGAGGGGACATCGCTGGGCTGAGCATCAACACGTCAAGCGCATCATTGAGGACTGAGGCTTGTTCGACTATTGAAAAGCTCTGAGGCGGCACGTCGTGTTTTGAGCAGAATCATAAAGGAGGAAAGCTCTTTACCTTTCCCCCTCCCCGACTGTTTCTGGAAGGACTACATGTCTGAATTGAAGAGCAAAGTACACTTGAGGGTTACAAACACACATGCGCACGCACACAACCCTCACGATCGCATACAGACACACGAGCGTGCCCTGCGCACCTGTGCCTATGTGTCCCTAACTGTGAGCGACTTTTAGGTAGGAATCCCCGCAGTGTGGGTGTGTCCTGCTCTCCTGGAATGTCTCCCCACGGTTGGGGGGCAGGGGTGAAGGCCATTTCCATTAGGTCCATWCTTGATTTGAAAGTCCAGACAATGTAAGGAGAAAAACGTTTAAAAAAAAAAAAAAGAAAAGAAAATGTAAGAAATCCCCAGCAAATTCCTCCCAGTAGAGCTTTTTGAGATGGAGTTTTGAGATGCACTAAGTATCTCCGTCAGTTTCAGAAGGAGTGAGTTTAGTTGCTCTGACCTCCACAGTCATGATCCTTTGAATCCTTAAATCTTCTTCCCTCAACTTGAAGTACTGTGAGCTGTCCTACTTAGTGTGAAGTATTCAGCCTTCACCAGGGCTGCTAGACCAGGGGTTTGCCTGTGTAAGGCAGTCATTTAAGGAGTGGGAGATCTAATATTTTCTCTGCTCAGGGCTAGCTGGATCGCTACCATTGAACAACACCCAATCAGAGTTAATCCCCAAAGCCTTCTGTTATAGCTTGATAGCAGGGTCTGCACTGCCCTTAGCATCTGGGTATCTGATGTCCTGGGCATTCTGTCAAGCAACACGAGGAAACATTCTCTGGAAACCCTGATGCCCTAGAATCCACGAGCCTGTCTAGTAGCTCACCTGCTTGCCTTCTCTGGGTGCTTTTGGAAAGAAAACTTGCCCCACACAGATAAACTTCTGTGTTACTCTGGAGCTAGAGGTGGTGGTTCATTTTGCAGAGAGTTTCCAAGGGGGAGCCAACAGAGGGAGTTGAGATGTTGGCAAGGCAAATGTGTAAGGAGACTGGCTAGAGGCTGCTTAGAAAACCCCAAATCCAAACCAACCATCTATATAGATAATATTAAGGCAGGTAGTCTGCCTAACAACTTCATGCTTATATTTTAATCTCTTCACCCRCTTCCTATATCTGATTAACAAGTACTGTAGTGATAGTCTTTTCCCAGAAGCCAATGTAATTGCTTTAGCACATCAAACATACAATTCCCCCTCCCCTCACATTATTTCCAGTCCTGCTGGGGATTTTCAGTGCTGTTTCTTTTCTTTCTCCAAGACCATCCTGTCTTCCTCTAAATCCTTGGCTAGCATTGTGCAAATTCCAAATACACATCTCTTAACTGCTAATGGGCCACACTTGTTTGTCTAATGAAGCTTGAAATTTGATTATAAAAGAAACCATTCAAAGAACCTTATTCCACCCTCACCCCCTGAAATTCATACCATATGGAAGGTGAGGATTTAGGACATCATGTCTTATTTACCAGATAAGAAAACCAAGAACTAAGGTCCAGAAACCACCCGCTGACAGAGCACAAACCAGAACTCGGGCACCCTGACTTCTAGGCTGGTTTGGCTCCACCAAACCTAAAGAAAATGAGTCCACTTGGTTTTCACAGTGACTATCATTCCTTTGTTTTTAGGTAAATCTCATGGATATGGCTTATTTTCCCCAATATTTCCAGGATAAGGCAGTAAAAGGCAGGCAAAGGAAGTTTATATCTACTATGCCAGTGAAGAATGAGATACATTCAATTGCATGGGTACATTCTTTGCCCATTTTCTGATGCTGAAGTGATGAGGTGTCACCGTTTCTTTTCTGGGCACATCTACTCCATGACGGTCATTGGAGAGGGAGGTTGGGTGGGGAAGGTGACAGTGTTCTGGCATGTGACCCTCAGGGGTTTTTCTGCTGAATATCTGTCAGAATAGTGCTATAAAGGGGCTAGGACCAGTCTTGTGTAGGGAGAGTTGAGCGATTTAGTGCCTCAGAGTCAGTGGGAATATTTGTGAATAAAGAAAATCTCTTGAGGACGTGGGACCCGAAGGAAACGTTCCCAAGTCACCAGCACATGAATACTAGATTTCCTTCAACTTGGAATTCAACAGCGCTAATCTCTCCTTGGAATTCTCCAAACCAGACTCAAATTTCAGCTTGTTTATCTCGCCTTGATTAGAAGACTTGATCCATAGGGGAAATCTGTTAACTYGGCAAAGATGCAGCCAGGATAAATAACTTGAGCAGCTCGGGAGATGGCAGGCCAGATGCCATTGAAACATGACGACACCCTATAAACAGGTTTGACTTCTGTGGGAATGTTCTGTGACCCTCAGCTCTAGAGAAGTCTTCCTACCACGAGGTAATCGTACGTGAAGTTTTGGAAACTGCGGAGTCACTAACATTGGTGAAGATTTCCAATTCCTTTGGGCTCGCTCAAGAAAATTATTCTCCCTGGGGCCTCARTCAGCCAGATACCTGCTATCTTTTGAGTCATACTCCTGTATAACTTGAAATTAAATCACAAGGTCACAAAAATGATGAAGGGACAGCTGATTTTGTTAGGACACCAGTATTCCTGTACAGTCCAAGTTATGCAGGAAGAGAGTGCTGAAAAGGGCATGCTCTCGAATAGATGAAAATTTGATGCTTTCCCTAAAAAGCTGAAAGCCACATCTAACCAAAGGTGGTTTGTGCTCTGCTACCTTGAGCCCTGCAAAAATCGGAATTGGATCACGATGGCGGCATTATCTCGGTTTTAAGGCTTCTTTACTCTTCTGCAGTGCCATTTGGCTAGCTTGAGTCTCTGACAAGGGACGGGTGGGAGCTGGTGATGGCCAGGTGCTGGTGAAGTGATGATTGTCCCCCCCTCCCCCCCTCCCCTGCCTCCACAACTGTAAAACCTCCAAAGCATTCACATCGAAGGACCGGGGAACAAAATGCAATAGTTACAAGGACCCGCATTCAAGGGACAGTTTCATCCATGTCTCTGCTGAGGACGACCTCCCTTCCCCCCAGACGATCGATCCCTCCCAACAAGAAACAAAGAAACGAACAAAAGAGCTAGGCAATGGAATGAAATGACACCCAGTAGTGCTGTAGGAATATATGAGAACAAATCCAGTCCGTCTAATCCTCGAACACTTCCAAGAACAGAGGCGGGAAGAGTTCCGTGGGACACTCCACCTTCATGTGCAGGAAGCGGCTGGCATGGCAGGCTCCGATCATGCGCAGGTCTGTCACCTTCATCAGGAGTTTTGGCCAGAAGTGGGTCACGTGGTGTTTTCGGTAATTGATATAGTGTTCAAAGGCCAGCAGGAAACTATCTTGGTATTTCTCTATTCTCTCAACGCAGGCGAGCCCTGGGCGATCTGAGGGGAAGGAAGAACGAGGTTATCAGTTTGGGGGGGAGAGAAAGGTTATGGGGGTTGAACCTAGGGATGCTTTATCTCTGAGCTGCATCCGTAGCACAATTTGTTTTCTGAGACAGGGTCTTGCTAAGTGGCCCATGCCACCCTTGAACTTGAAGTCCTTCTGCTTGAGTCTCCCCAGTTGCTGGGATTGATGGCATATGCACCACTGCCCCCCAGCGAATACTTCAGAGGTGGGAAGAGGTGGCTTCTAGTCCTGTAGTGAGAGGTGGGCAGATTGGGGTCTTTTCAGCTCCAAGGAGGGAGCCTGGATGCAGCATGAATTCCATGGCACTAGGGACCAAGTGACAAGGGAGCGGCAGCACTCTGTTTAGATGAATACCTCTAGCCTAGACAAATCGCCTCCTTGGATGTGAAAGGTGATGCCTCCCTCCTAGGGCAATGATGCAGCGGACCATTGCATAATGAGGGAAACAATTCTGAGTCTCCCCTGGCTGCCTGCAGGAGTGGAGAGGACTAGCACAAACATGTYGGGGTAGGGAAGAGATCTGAGACTGGGGACATGGCTGAGGCCGGAAGACTGCTGTCTTCCTGTCTAGTAAGAAAGTCTCTTGGATATAAAGAAACATCATCCCGAATTTTAAGTTGTTTGAGGCCACAATAAGCCACACCTTTCCTTCTTGTATTCAGTAGTCCTCCCCCTTATCCATGGGGCCGGGGATATTCAAAGATTTCCAGTGGATACCTGAAACTACGGATAGAACCAACACACCTCATATTTATGACAGTTTATATATAAAATTTGGTACTATCCATAGTTTCTAAAATTGTGTACAATTAGAATTTTACACATATATAAAATATATCCCTCAGTACTCAGGARGGTGGGGAATTGGTTCCAAGACCTTGCAGATACTTATATCTGAGGAAATTCAAGTCCTTCATTATAAAATGGTATAGTATTTGCTCATACACTACGTACATCCTGTTGTATACTTTAAATCATCTCCAGATTACTTATAATACCAAAGGCAATGTAAATACTATGTAGATAGTTTTTTTTACACTGTGTTACTTAGGGAACAATGCCAAGAAAAAAGCCTGTGTGTATTCAGATGCAATCCCACACCCCCCAARTATTTTCCATGTGTGGTTGGTTGAATCCTTACATATAGAACTGAGGATAAAGAGGGCTGGCTGTACTGTTTTTTTTTTTCCCCTTTGCATCGGAATACATTTCAGATATGTTACCCATATATTCAGCCATTGATGTAATACGCATTTCTCAAATGCTAAAACCTAGCCTAGGTGCCTTGTCTTCAAAAGAGGAACAGTTCAGATGGAGGCACTGTCAAGCAGGTAGTTAGAGTGCAAAGGGGCAGGTACTAAAGCAGTGCTCRCTCATGTATTCTGCAAATTCAGAGGATGAATCTGAAACCACCTTCTATTTAAAGATTAGCTTCCCTTAAGTAACATGATGTGTTCTGTATTTATTTATTATGACATGGTCCCTGAAGAAAAAGCTGTTGGCATTATTCATTGCTCTTCATCCCTGGGAGCAAATTTTGATACTCTCATATGATTTCCACACACACAGCTTAACAAAGAATGATCTAGTCCCTCTTATCCATGTCCGCGTACATGGAAATGGGAGGAGGCAGGATAGGTAATGTCTGCTGGAAGTGGTCAATTCATAGTCGGTCGGTCTCTGTGGTACTGAGGACTGAATCCAGGGCTCCTTAACCACTAAGCCCCAGTTCTTTTTATTTTGAGATGGGGCCTGTGATAAATTGCTGAGGCTGGCCTTGAACTTGGGATTTTCCTGCCTCAGCTTCTTGAGCTGCCGGTGTTACAGCTGTGCACCACCATGCCTGGCTGATAGTCTTTATTACCTCTTTTGTTTTTTTTTTTTCCCTTCCTACTATCCTGGGGAATTCCAAAAAGCATCAGATACCTGATGCCTTCATTCAGTTCCCAGCCTATTGGCAAACCCCTAATTGAAGGGGGATTGAAGACTCATTTGTGATTTGAATTGGCACCAGACACATAAAACTCCTTTTATACCCAAGACAAATCTAAGCACACTCACCTGAGGACATTAACAGGACGGCCTGAAGGAGGGCTACTTCGGTGTCATCCAGGTTGAAAGATGACAGAGACATGCCCAGGTCAAAGATGGCATCTGACACCACCCCAAGACCCCCGTTTTTCAGCTGGCCCCGTGTCACTGCCATTTCCCCATTCAGGGTTAGAGTCTCACTCTCTGGGTCATAGCGCACTGCAGCGCGAAGGGACATGATCTCCATGCAGCAGCCTTTGAGGAGGATTATCTGGTCTTCACATGGCAGCTGAAAAGAAGCAGCCCACATCAGCAAAGGACAAAAGGAAAATGCCAGTCAAAGCCATATGTCCATGTGTGTCCTAAAAGCAATAGGAATGATCTCTGTCATCGACACTCATCCAGCATTTTTGGAGCCCCTGGTTCTCCCCACCACCCCTCTACGTGGCAGCAGACTTTCAACAACTCTTCTTCATGGTCCAGGTTAGCTGTAATCTTCAACTTTAACCTCAGTAGTTTGCATTTCTTTTATGACAGATATAAATTTCCAACTGGCATTAGTCATGTATAAATCCCATAGTTTGTGGATTGTTTTATGTTTTTACTGGATATCTGCCTGAGAGCAGGGTTTATGCTAAACTTACCAATTTTTCTACTTTTTTTTTTTAATGCCCTCCAGTTCTGATACTTAGCAGTTGACTCTACTGTTCAGTTTGCAACAGCTTCTCTTTATTTTTTGAAGCACGTTGGCTCCTTGAGTCTCTTAAAAAGCCCAGAACTAGGAGGGCTATTGACAGATGCTACTCAAGAAGCCCAGAGAGAGAAAAGCTTTGTCCTTCCCAGTGAGTCGAGGAGGGCAGAGGTGAGAACAGAATTCAGACGTGTTGGCTCCTAAGGTTATGTTCTTCTCAACAGCTCAGATACCAGAGTTGCTCAGCACACCGGATCTTTCTGCCAGTATTGTGATTTTTGTTTTAAGCTCATGTGTCTACCCCTTTAATTAGGATTTATGATAATGGGATAACATGAACAACGTACTTTATAAAATAACCAGCAAAATAATGGAAATTTATTTTGTGCTTGGGGAGTTTAAATGCCATTATCAAACTCATTTGAAAGGCTCTTAATGTGTTTTTGATGAATTGGGCATCATGCTAAGATTTACATGCATTCTTATTTAATTTTCCAAGTAATACATTGGGGTAGATATTCTAAATCCAGTTTTATTTACACATGGGAAAACTTGGGCACAGAAAGGGTGAGTGATATGGTAGGGGTCACGTGAACGTCTAGCTCTGACAGAACCCAATGCCAAGGGCGGGGTGATGAGAACACTCAAATATCATGGATGTGATTGTACAAACTATGAGTATGTAAGTCACAATAATATTTTCCTCACATAATATTTACCTCTTAAAGCTCCTTATGAATTCTTTCTGGGAAATGCTCTTGGCAACACTTACTTGACTAGTGCAATTTCGGTTTTTATATGGGAGTGGACATAATGCTATTGAATTATGTTTAAGATGCTGRGTGTTACATATTTTGCACTAGCTTAGCCTAGTCACCTTACCATTTAATTTAAATAGCTTAGCTTTTTATATAGACCAAAAGTCATTTAATATTTGATTCTGGGGTTCATATGTATGAAATTTTTACATGAATTCTTTTCTTCCACCTATTTTTAAGAAACCACTGATTTGCTTTTGTTTGGGTTCTGACTTATATTCATTAATTATATCCTTTAACTCATGGCCCAAGGTGTGGTAGGAAGTGGGAAGCCCAAGCTTGGGTGGACCCTATACTGGTGAGAGGAGAGGGGCCAACTTAAACACCTGTTTCCCATTTCAGCCCCATCCGGATCACATGTGGACTTGTTGGGTGTAGATTCCTGACTGCACCTCCGAGTTTCTCCATTTCACCCAAATTCCCAAGTAATGCTTACACTGCAGGTTTGTGGATCCCACTGAGACCCTCTGGCCTAGAACAGCACTGAGAAATTACTAATCAGATCAAAATACTTGTTTTTTTTTTTTAAACCTGTGACAAAGTATGCAAATTTGGGCAGACCCCACCTTTGAAGTCAAATTGTCTTATCAAGTTTTCTTTATAAAACCTACTAACTCTTGATGACTAGTTCAAATTGAAATGAAAGCTGAATCAGTATTTGCAAGGGATCATCACTGGTTTAAAAACGCATCTTTTCGGGGTGTGTAGAACCTGGTGACATTTGTTGTAATATATGGGCAAATCATCTCTCAGATACCTGGCACAGTGCTTCAGTGTGAGAAGGCTCCAACATGGGCTGTCAGGCAGAGGCACCGGATACGCCCCCAGGGTCTTCTGTCTGCTCCGTGGAGCAACGCTCAGGTCAATTGGCAAAGATGACGGCATGCTCTCAGGGGGTTCTTACATGTTGTTTTGGCAGTTCCGCTAGCAATGATTTTTTAGGTATCTGGAAGCCCCGGCTGTCACTCCAGCCTTGTTTAGTGGGTTGACAGGATGTTAGCCAAATAATCGCCAGGCACACAGTTTGAACTGCAGAGGCAGCAAACTGCAAGAAACCCCTGGCTCCAAAACAGCCTGGGATCTCCATCCCATTCTGTGAGTAGTGCAGAGCCCTGTAGAGCTTCCCTTGGATTTCAAATAGTATGAGAAAGGGTGAAAGGTGCCGAGGAGACACCCCCCCCTCCAGCACTAGAAGTACATGTGTTTGTGCTTGTTTGTGAAGTATAGACTACAAATGATCAGGGTTGAGAGGGAGATGGAATTGTGACAGTGAAGCAGCCTTAAACTTGCAAGGAAAGCTTGGCGAGAAAAGTTCTCCACAACCCCATGCTTGGAAATTTCCACGTTGAGCCCACGTCCGTACCATGGACACCAGGGCCCAGTAATGCTTGTTTCTGGGGTTGGAGAAGGCTTCTTTAAGTGAAATCTCTCTTCAGTGGTTGGTTTTCAGGAGGTTTCCATTTGTTACAAAACGTTGCTGGTAGGCATTAGAAGGGCGCTTGCCATGTGACAGGCAGGCTGGCTTGAACTCTCAAACTCCACTGCGTTCCTCTTCAGCCACCAAGGGCTGGGGTTCAAGGGACACAGCCAGAGAAAGGCCCAGGTAGACAAAAATCAAAGATGACATTGAGCTGGTGAGAGAGAGGGGGAAGCAAGCCTGTCTGCAGACATGCAGGGGCATGCTTTCTCACTCCATTGCTACCTGGGAACACAGATGAGGGGCCTCAAAAGGGATCTCTGTTTGCCTTGGTCCTTAGATTCCATGGATGCACCCTGAGGAATTCATGATAGGAGCAGGGCATAGTTACCAAAATATTCACTGAAGTGTATTTTTATGAGTGAAAATTTGTAGATGAGCCACAGAGCCAGGGATAAAAATAACTTCATTTTTTTGAATACCATTTGGCCATTAAAAATCGTTTTGTGCAAGGACACTCGTATGTCCTACCACTGACAGTGAAATCGGGTGCAATGGGTGCTGGGAACGCTGTGTTCCTTGGTCTTAGTGCTCATTATGGGGATGAATTCATGAGCTGCACCCTTAGGACAGGTGCACACCACTCTTTAAGGTTAGAAGTGGTTTAGTAAAAAGAACATTATTGCATAAATTAATAACACATTTCACATATATGTAATACACACAAATAAAAAAATGCTCCAAAATGATGTCAGTTTTACCAAGAATTTTTACGTTTATTATGTTGCATAAATCTGCAATGAAGATGTGCTGTTTCAAAAACTTTTAAAAATTTTCTTGGCACTAAACCACAGGTGGTTTACCACTAGGCCACATCCCCAGCCCTTTTTTATATTTTTTTAGAGAGGGCCTTGCTGAGTTGCTAAGGGTCTTGCAAAATTGCTGGCTTTGAATTTGTGATACTCCTGCTGGGGATTAYAGGWGGGCGCCACCATACCCAGAGAATATGGGCTATTTTTATAACATGCTCCAAAATGGTCATAAATACTAATTCTAAAGAGATGTCATAAGGCACAGGAAGTTCCATAGCAAATACCCTAGTGCTATGGCCTAAATGATTATCCCTCCAAAATTCCTCTGTTGCATCTTGTCCCTGATGTGATGGCACAGGAGGTGGGCCTTTGGATAGTACCAAGGTTCTGAGGGCAGGKTAGAGCCTTAATGAATGGGATTTGTGTTTTCATAAAAGAGACACCAGAGAGCTCCCCGGTCCCTTCTGCCACACAAGGATGTAGCAAGAAAACAGCAGTGGATGAACAGATAAGCCAGGTCCCCACCAGACACTAGATCTTCTGGTGCCTTGACCTGGGACTTCTCAGTCTTCTCAGCTGCTTAAGTTAACCAGCCTATTGGTATTTTGTTATAGTAGCCTGAATTGACTAAGATGCCTCATCCCCACCACAGTCAAGTGGGGGGTCAGAGGGAGACAGGTACTCCCGCACTCACTCTGTACCTTACCCCCAGACCTAACTGACAATGTCCTAAAGTCCACTGCCCAAACCTTGTGGGTATGCCTTCTGTAGAGGCTCGGAAATGAGCAATGAGAAGTATCCCCATCAATGTCTGTGGTTGCTCCAATTGTAGCTCCCATTATTGCAAACTCAAGGCCACAATGGAGCTGGAAGCCAAGGTAGCATGGGGTCATTCTAGGTGAGGAAATGCTTCTCCCAAGACCACAATCTCTCATCATTCAAGTAGCTTTCAGAAGAGACACATAGCCATGTGTGAGCCTTTGTGAGTATCATCTTTCTGGGTCCCCTTGAAAGCGTGAAGAGCCTTAGATTGGCACCTAATGGAGTTTTGCAAAAGGAAGAGTTCTCCAGAAAACAGAATCAGTCCCACTTGATTCAAAAAGGGCAGTTACAGGGAGGGTGGAAATGTCACTGCAGTATTATAGGCAGCKAAAATGTTTTTAAACATTTCTGAGTTGTTGAGGGACCTTATTTTATTTATTTGTATGTGGTGCTGAGAATCAAACCCAGTGTGTTAACTGGGCAAGCGCTCTACCACTGAGCCACAACCCCAGCCCTAGGCAGCTTTAAGGAAAGCTTATGATCCAGGAACTGTCCAAGAACTTTATATTATCCTATTTAAATCTCCCAATAGTTCTAAGATAGATGCCATTACAATGTCAATTTTAAAGACGAGATAACTGAAGTTTGAAGACATTAAATAATGTGTTTTTTTTTTTTTTTTTTTTGGTACCAGGAACTGAACCGAGGGGTGTTGAGCCACATCTTCAGACCCTTTTTTGTTTAGAGATGGCCTTACTAAGTTTCTGAGGCTGGCTTTGAACTTGCGCTCCTCCTGCCTCAGCCTCTYCGGCTGCTGGGATTACGGGTATGTGCCATGGATTCATGCCCATGCAGCCGACTGCAGAGCCCACGTCCTCGGTCACTGAATGACAGGGCTTGCTAAAGTTAGGGAAGAAATACCTCCAAGGAAATGTCTCTGAGCTCGTCAGGGTTCCCTGAATATGGGGCAGGAAGGTGAACTTAGAGGAAAAGAGGGAAGATCGAAGGGAGATATGGAGAGCCTTGTTTGACTTTAATTCTTAAGTAACCATTATGCAGCCATCATGCTGGGATAAGTTGTTCAAAGAATATAGACCTATGTCCCAATCCTGGTACTGCTTTTGGATAAGTTCAATTCATCTCTTTGATCTTATTTTGATCCCTCTGTAAAATGCGGTTAATAGAACCTATCCTGCAGATCTGTCATAAACATTGGATTTATGTTGGCAAATTTGAGTTCGGTCACTGGGATTTTATTTGTCTGTACCTGGAGCCAGGTCCACAGAAGGGTCTTGGTGACCCTCACATGGACAAGCTGAGACTAGAGAAGGTGGGGGAAACAATGGAACAGGGTGCATTTGTACTTTGTACTGACATGTCTTTCATATGACTAAGCTCGGCTAATTTTAATATTAAACTCTAAACAATACCCAGTGTTCCTGGAAATTGATGGAACTATGAAGAAAAATAATGCAAAAGAAAACAATGTCCTCACCTCACAAAACATAGGCAACTTTTTGGCAAAATCCACCACTCTGGTGATTGCTGGTGTGATGATTTTTGTAAAATGGCTGAAGGCTTCCAAGTCCACCTTCCCACCTTCTGGGGCATTGACTATTGGTGCTTGTCCAATATCTTCCGGCTGAGGAGGAGAAACAAGAAAGATTTAAAGGACAAAGCTGAAGGGAGATAGAATTTCCTGTAGTTCCTGTGTGGCAGAAGAGCTCTTCTGAAATGACTTGTTGCTGTATTTTCTGATTTTCGTCTCGTTTATTAACAAACTGTAGCGTTCTCCCATCGGTTGTCTTGGAACAAAGATATGTCTTGGTCATTGCCTTAATCAGCCATCAGTGATAATGTTCTCAGGATGGTTGCTAGAGAGAGGGAGAGGGAGGGAGGGAGGGACTGCTGAGCCAGTGCCCCGATTCACTGCATGATGAATTCCAGAGATGAAGTGTTCCCAAGGTTCAGCCTAGGAGCTCAGGTGGGCAGGCTCTTCAGATGATGGGGCAGAAAAGAATGAGCTAGTAGGAAAAAGAAAGAAGGAGGCAGAGGAGACAGGCACTTGGGGTCTGTTTTTGCCTGCACAAAAGGTGCATACCTAAGTCCCTGGGATGGTGTTTTTAGAGCGTTGCACATTCTGTGTGTGTGTGTGTGTGTGTGTGTGTGTGTAGGGGGGGAGGTGGGCACAGTGGGGCAGGGATGCAGCCATATGATAGGCTGGCTATTTCCTAGCAATGGTGCCCTGTTGATTAACTAGATTCACTCTTGCTTCTGACCCACGCTCCTTCCTCTCAGTGGTCCGGAATCTAGTATGAGGTGGTATCCTGCCAAGCACTGAGAGGGGCCATCTCTAGGCTGCCTGTAGGGAGGGAACCCAGTTGTGCGCACCTTAGGGCAGTGGGGCCAATTTGTCATTCAGTATCCCTAGGGCATTTTTCTGCTATTTACTTGAGGCTTTCCACTCCAAGGGTGGTACAGCTGCATGGGTGTCTCCTGGAGATACTCTTTAGGCCCCTCTCCAGACTCAATGGTACAGAATCAGTATTTTAGTCAGGACTCCCCTGTTCCCTGCCAACCTCCCTCAGGTGACTTGTGCACATGTTCCATGGGAATATTCTAGCTCTTCATTCTGCATTCTGTGTCTTCCCTCACTCTCTCTCTCACAGTCACCCTTTTTCCTATGGGAACAACCTTCCCCACTGTCCTTTCTTGTCTTTGTGATCCTAATAACCACAATCTGTGGACTAGACTTGAGGCAGCCCCCGCTGCACTGCCCTATCTCAGGCGGTCCTCACCCAAGCCCTGATTTGCAGATGAGCACAGCAGGGCTCAGGCAGGGTAAGGTGAGCCCTGGTGGCCCTGACACCAGGCAGCAGCCTTTCCAGGATCCCTCACCTGCCCACCCGTCTGCAAGGCTCTTCCCCCTACGCTCCACTACCAGGAAACAGATGTGTTACTCTTCAGGCTGCCTTTGCCCACCTCTCCACCTGTTCTTCAGGAAGTTTTGAATGTCGCCAAAGAGATCACAGATCTTTGGCCTACCTGATGGTGGCCACCTTTGCCTAAAGCCACACTTCATAGTCCAGAGTACGCAGGGTAGAGGGTGGGCAGGAACAGACTCTAGAGTGAGTTGAGCAGAACCTAAGCCCTCGCTTACAGAGTAGTGACAGTACTGCCCATGCCAAGGCCTGCACCAGGCACTGACCCACAAACTTCACCAGAACCACCAGACTTTTGAGACCCTCCCCCAGTGTTGGTGACTCTGTYGGGCAGGGGTAGACTGAGAATCTGCATTTCTAAGTGTCCTGGACATGCTGATGCCACAGGTTGGGACTGTACTCTGAGAGCAAGGGCTTGGGGGCAACCCAGTCCAGCGCAGAGTAACCTAGTTACCATATTTCCTCCCACCTGTCTTCTGTTGCCACTCACATGTAGCTTTCAGCAGTAGAAAAGCAGTAGATGAGTCTGTTGCCAAGTGCCAAGGTCAGTGGCAACCCAGGCCCTGCAGGTGGGTGGGGTGGGGCTGTGCCCATCTCAGGATTTTGATACAGGCTGTATCACAGCACATTTGCATGGCTTGCTTTTATCTAGTAGGTTCTCCTGTTTTCTTTTTTTTAAATTTATATGTTATGCTATTGTTTGGTGCCTGTGAGTGGATAAAACCTGGTTTCTGTGGCGTTTTAGTGGTAATGGTTATGTTCTGGGGCAGCTGTTAGCATGGAATGTCCACAGAGGGCCTGCTTTGTGGCCTTTCTGAAGACAGAATGGGTGCAATGATCACCTGGAAAGCTCCCATCTCTCTCCTCCTCCTCAGATGGAGCTGAGGGAAAAGGTACATGCATTCCTCTTCTGAGAGCCTCTGTTTGGTGCTTTCTTCAGACCTGACTGCTCTAAGACCTTCTCATTGTGAAAATGAAGCTCCTATGTTACAAGTCTGTTATGGAGCTCAATTGATTAAATTGGGCAGGCATTTGAAAAGGTAGGGAGTGTTATAAAACTTCAGAATATATTTTATATAGGTAGGAATATTCTTAGAAATAAAAATACTTCATATAATATGGTTTGGGCCTCTCTGGATCCATCTCCTCACTGAATACTGATAGACGTAATCTGATTGCTCTGAAAGGAGAAATTTGGTCTCTTTTGAAATGATGCTAGTGTTAATGACTCCTGTTCAATCTGTGGGTACATAGTGTATTTGAATCACTAACAATGGCCCCTCCAAAGATTTGGAAAAAAGGACTGAAATTATGCAAAGAAATGTAGCAACTTTAATTAAATCTATGAACACATGAGAGGTTCATTTTATTTTTTGTAAAAATATATCAGAGTAGAAGAAAAAGCAACTTTGAAGTCTCTGCATATTAAATGGCAAATACAATCGCTAGAATAAACTATATACAAGGCCAAAATCTTCTAGTGTATCATTAAGGTTTATCTCCATAATGGTTCTCAGATAGAAAAAATACATATTCTGTACATGGAATATATATATAAGTAATGTGTAAGTAAATAAAAAATTTATGAAAATCTACATATATAGGTACTTGATGAGTTAAATACAACCTTGTTTATGACTTCCACTAAGATTTTTCACCTACAAGGACAAAATGTGTTTTGACATCCGTTAGGTATCTTACTGTAGCTCATGCAGTGATACATAAGGCTATGAGATCCATTTGTCCACATATACAATATTGGATTTATGCTAGTTCAGGGACGGACAGGTCTCTGGGTTGCAGTGGACCTTTGGGAATGCCCGCTTTTGCCTCTGTGGGTCCAGCTACCTTGCTTGCATTTGGGTGGGTCCTTCCAACTCTCTCTGGCTTCTTGTCTGTCTTAAATGGACATACTGGACCAGCCAGCTGGCCTCACCCTGTCTCCCCACAACTTGCTTTATGCTTTCTCATTTCCCGGCTGCCTTCTCTCTAGACACTGCCTTTTTTTGAAAGTCCCACACATTTTTCAAGACCCTACTCAAATTCGGTCTCTTCCTAGACATCTTGCAAGATGATCTCAGTTCTCCCTCACCTGAGAGCACACATGGGAGTCCACATTTATTCCCCTCCCCATGCACTAGGCATTTATTACTATCACTTTTAATTGTAGGTGCATATCAAAGACAAACTTCTCAAAGGAGTTGGGAATAAGCCTTATGTATTTTTGCCTATTATGTAYAAGGCATCGGTMCAAATGGTGGAGGACAGATGCTTATTATTTAATGGAATGAATAAATGTGTCAATGTTTATTTAGACAATATTTATGAACAAGTACTATGGGCCAGGTCTAGATCTAGATGATGAGATTTCAACAATGCAGCATCAAGGAACTTGTATCCTGAGGAAGATGGGTAATAGATAAGAAAAATACATTCACCAATAAATTTCAGTCTGTGATAAGACCAGAAGTGACAGGGTATTGTCAAGGACCCTTTGAAAAGCAATGTGCAAGCTTTGACTTGCAGAATGTCAAAGGCCTGGGGGAAGGACAATTAAGGGAAAAACCAGCACAGAAAGGAGGCTGAGATGGGTAGAGCCCAGTAATGACATGAGGCAGGGAGGAGTCCCATTATATTGGCCCATGGAGAGGACACAGGCTTATTTTAAATGCAAAGGGATGGCCACTGAAGGGGTGTAAACAGGAGAGAGGTGTGATATTTGTGGTTATTATGGTGTGTGTGTGCCAAAGGAAGATACTGGCAACACCCATAGGTTTGGTTGCAGTGGGGGACATAGTTTAAGATATGTCTCAGGGGCTAAAGATGCACAGAATGTGGAATAGGCAAGCCAAAGTGACTCTCTGGAGAGTAAGGATGGAGATAATTTTTTTTTAATTTTTTTTTTATTTTTTTATTTTATTTTTTTTTTAAGTACAAGTGTAGGCTTAGCACCTGGGTGGCTGATGTTATGTAAATCTCCACCTACTGGCTTCCTGTTGTGACTCTTTCATGACTATTGTTTGTGGTAAGCAGGAAATGCTGCTAGTTGGCTCTTGGCAGACTTCTTGGCTTGACCTGGCAGCTCTTTGTCACATGTAGAGTGGGATGGGATCTCGGAGTATTCACAGGGTATTGTCTTGCATGTTTGGAGGGCTGGATAGATTGTGATTAAGGTCCTGAGACTTGGGACATGACTAGTGGCTCCCGCTTTTCCAGGGAGGGAGAATGTACACCGTAACCACCTACGTGGCTGTTAACAGGTCAAATGGTGCCTGGCCTATTGTTATCTATTGCTTTTATGCCATCTGGAAGGCCACAGGGCAACTGAGTCTTACAGAAGTGAGATAACTGATTTAGAAGTTACAAAAGCAACAGAGGGGTCAAACTAAAGGTGTCCCTGCCCCAGGGAGGCCCAGAAGGGACACCTGGTGGAGAGACCAGCTTTCCCTTGCTGTCCGTCATCACATTTCACAAGCCAATTGTTGGTAAAACTGGGCATTTCTGTAGCCTCAGAGATTTGAGAAAACTACAATATTACATGATTTCAATGCTTTTGGAAGCAGTTTTAAAACATGGCTTGTGCCAAAGTTCCCTCATGAGCCAAATACTCTAATTATTAATCAAAACTCAAATATAGATTTGAAACTCAGGTCAAACCACCTGTCTTTTTTTTTTTTCCTATCTGGTCCTAGAGTGAAAAAATGATGAAGTCGCTTCTTTTGGGGTCAAAGTTAACTTACTTTTCCAAATTAGTGAATCTTGTATCTTTTATGACAATATATAACTTTTAAACCCCTATATTACTATTATCATAATAGGCCTCTTCAAATATTTTTCTAAAACAAGATTGGACATCACATAGAAATTGATGAAATAATTTGTGGAACAGTGTTGAAAGCACCCAAGAGGTGGTGGTCAGGACTCCGCCATGCAGGAGGTACAAACCCTAGTGCATAAAAACCTACTGGGTCCCCAGACACCTTTCGGTACATGTATACCCTGTAACAAAGCCAACTCTCGGAAAGGATTCTTAACGTCCTTACAGGAATAATGAATGCACTGATCAAAAGGCGGCAATGTTCACTCTGAGCATAAACACTTAATTTTGTATGGAGTATGTAATAAATATGTCTGGGACCAGGGAAACGGTATGTTTAACTTAATTTTGAGTTCTGTTCTTCTATTACTGTGGTAACAAACACCAGCCCCTCATCCAGCTGTCATTGAATGGCTCTGTAGGCTGCTATCATCTGAGGATTTTTTTTTTTTTTTGAACTCTTCTGGTGCCTGGGTTGGTTGGGAATCTTGCTTTACAAGTGGCCTCTGGGCATGGCTAGCTTGGGCATCCTCCCAGTGACCCAACCTTAGAAGCATCTCTTCTGCCCAAATGTGCCATTTAAAGGAATCATAGACCAGCCCAGGTTCAAGGAGGGAGAGAGATTCTCCCCATGGGGTGGGGGCGGGGGAGAGCAGGCTGTGTACAAAAGGAGGAGAGAATGTGATTGCAGCCCTTGGGGGTGGGAGTGAAAGGAACATGGTCCCCCAACCCGTAGGAGATGCAGGCACAGACTGTGATGGACTGCTAGAAATGATGGTATAGATCACTGGGTGAGTAAAGGAGTTTTCATGTCCCCCTGTGAGAATAAATGGCTTAGAGAAGCACTTATTTATATTCGGATCAAGAGGGACAATTTCTTGACCTGATCAAGGAGCCACAAAAAGATTTCATGTCTGCTTCATCAGAGAGGGAGACAGGTGGGGTAAGAGACTGCTTGGTAGAYGGTATCCTCAACAAGACCCTCTTTGGCATGGATCATCTTAGGGCCCTGCCAGAAAGCTCAGGGCAAATCATGCTATGCTGTCCCTTTCTTGGTTATTTCTGCACATGATCAGACCCATGACTGGCAGAAGGCTCTAAATTAAGGGTACAGACTCAAGGCAGATTGTCCTGTCTTTGAAGAAACCATGGAGAGGTCTGATTATATGTTGGTTTACAGGTTTGTTTCTCAGCTTGCAGACATGGCTTGCATGTCACCTCCTCAGAGAGCCCTTTTCTGTTTAAGCACCCTACTTGGAGAAATGAAGTCCTCCCACTTCATTCATGAGCACTCTGTCCCATCTTACTGTCTTTGTACTCACCACTAGCATTTGTCTCCCTGAAATGGAATATAGCTGACATAATCACTTCCTGGCACACAGTAGCTGCTCAGTGACTTCCTTTAGTGACAACTGAGACTAGTGTCCATTTTCTTTTGAAAGTAAATAAAATTGTTAAATTACCCTTGGGAGAAAAGTTAAGAATTTGTCCCAAATTTTCTATCAAGCTTGGAATTCAGCTTGAATTCCATTATTGGCCACTACTTGAAGTCAGAATGTGGCTTTGGGCCTGAAAGTCTTTTTTTTTTTTTTGGGGGGGGGAGGAGGGGCGGTGCTTAACCACTGAGCCACATCCCCAGCCCTTTTTTGCATTTTATAGAAGGACAGGGTCTCACTAAGTTGCTGAGGCTGAACTTTTGATCCTCCTCTCTCAGCCTCCCAAATTGCTGGAACTATAGGCATGTGCCACTGTGCCCAGCTTTTCTGAAAGTAGTTTCTAAATGTTCATTATGACTGACATGTTTGGGCAAAGGAGGGATTTAGGGGTATGGTTAGGCAGGACTCTATCTTGCTAGGCCCCCAATACATGGAGTGGGGATGCACGATGAAGGCATGATGAGGCTGCCCCTCCAAGGTGCTGTGTCTTGGGAGGCTTCTCAAGTTTGTGCAGGTGGGCCAGGGAGGAGCATGGCTCCTGGAGCCTGCTGTACCTGCCACCACCCCATACTAGCTATGGGAACGTGGACACATTTCTTAAACCTCTCTGCCTCTGTCCCCTCTTCTGTCAGTGGGGATGTCCTCTGTGTCTACCTGTAGGTTTGGTACAGGGAGTAAATGTATGCAATCCCTTAGAATAGTGCCTGGCATACAGTAAGGGTCATGTAAGGCTTTGCTAAATGTTGCTGTTAGTGGAAGCCATTAACAAAATACTGCCATCATCCTTTCATTACAGCCATGAAGGCCATRGTTTCTCAACAGGTGGATTATATGCAAGCTTTTTCTTTGCAAAAACTTACTRTAAGGTCATTATGATTTTAAAAGCACTGTTGCATTAAAATGTTGAGGGGCAAGCCCAATGATGCCACTGTATCTGCTTGTTCAGATGGGCAGGCACTTGGATGTTCCCTAGAGATATGAACTCACAGGATATCTGATACCAGAGCTTGGCCTGGTGCTCAGACAGGGCTTCATATCATAGCTTAAGAACAGGATCAAGTCTCTGAGATGGTGAGTCCATCTAATGAGGTGGGCAGAGAGCTTGGACTTGGAGTCAGAAGTTCCTAGTGGCTTTTGGGCCCAGTTTGCATATCTTAAAAAAAAAAAATGGGGCTGGTGATCCCAGCTTAATGTCAAGCACTGTGAAGTCTAAATGAGCAGTGGGTGGGGAGAGCTTTCACAGCTGCCAGCTTTTAGAAAAACATTAAATGCCAATATTCAAGGGTCTAGAAAAGTCTGTTTTTTTTCCTACACACCTGCCTTCTGTCCCTACTTCCTTATTTTCATAGTCTTCCATTAATTTCTTTAAAAATTTTGACTTCTAGAGGGCTGAGAACGTAGCTTAGCAGTAGAGCACTTGCCCAGTGTGGACCTCGGGTTTGATCCCCAGCCCCCCAAAATAGATCAACATTTTTGACTGACATCATTTTTTTTCTTTGTGCGGACGATGGAACCCAGGATTTCATAGGCAAGTGCCCTATCACTGACATAAAAATATATTTGAGGGATGGAATTAAAGGCTATTCTTAAGGATTAAGAATGTATACAGTGGGCCTGTGAGGGAAGAAAGAATGGGGACAGGGAAAGCTGGCAGGTCATGAAGTTTACCAAGGAGTTGTTCCAGGACAGACCTCATTAACAGCAAAAGCAAACTGAGGCCAAAGGCCAGAGAAACTGCTTTGGAATTCAGTGAATCACAAAGAGTTGATGGTAGGAGAGGCCGTTAGGTCTCACATAGGCAGACTGCAACTCRGAGGCCAAGAAACTTGCAGAGCCAGGATTCAAATCGGGCCCGTCAATAAGATGGGACAATAATGGCCACATCCTTGAGCTATGGGAACGAGTCGAAAATACCTGGTGTGTAGGTGATCCGGAGCCGCGGGAGGAAGCCTTACCAGGAATTTCCGTTTCTGCTTCCAGTGGCTGCCTTGGGCATTGGTTGCCACGTGGGCTTCGGTGACAGTTTTGATGAGTTCCCATTCCTCATCTGTGGGCTCCGGCTTGTGCCCGATGGATTTCTGCAGCTCTTCCCGTCGTCGCTTCTCCCGGTTCTCCTCTATCAGCTTCCTCTTGGCCAGCCTCTTGCTGTCATCCAGCACCACTGGGAGGGAGAGAAAGATGAGACCTACAGATGCTCCCAGGACACAGGGCACCCTGCATGTCCTGGAGCCTCTGTGGAGGGGCCGCTGCGGCACCGATGGCTGGGTAAGGGAGTGTGGGGGTCACATGGAAGCATTTTCTCCCTTTGGTAGCAAAGTGCCATGGACTAGCCATCGTCCAACACCAGCCCAGGAGCAACTCTCAATGTCCAGGCAGGTTCTCAATGTCCTGAGGGAACTTTGGCCACTGCAATGTGACAGAATATAGCTCTTGCAAAGAGCAGAGAGGTGTGATCTGTACTACCCATAGGGTCACAGAGGTACATCTGTCTAGCCAATCTGAATTCACTCTCAGGATTTCTATTCTTTCCACCTCCCTTAAAAAAACTTCAGGTTAAGGAAAATGTCCTGGAGCAGTAATTGGAGACTCCTAATTCCTTCTTCAGAAACAAACAAACCAAAACCAAACCACCCCTTAAGGGCTAATTGGAACRTGGCTGGACCTCACAGGTACTCACAATGCATTATTTTCTACTTGGTCAACCCTCAGTGGTAAAGATCCTAGTCTTTGGAATCTAGAAGGACTTTGGTTTGAATCCTAACACTTCCACCATCTCGCTGTGTGACCGCTGGCAAGTGACAGGCTCTCTGAGGTTTCATTTCTTCTTAGGTGAAATGGAATCAATAATACCCACAGCACAAGGTATGCAATGTGATAATATACTGTAGGTAATCAGTAAATGTAGCTACAACCTTTTTTTTGCATAAATAATAACAGGTAATAAGAAACCTCTATTTCTGTGGTTAATTTCTAAACCAAATTCAGCTCATGGCCCAGGGTTCCTGACTCCAGTTCTACAACATCATTTTTCTAAAGCTACTTGAAGACGCGGCAGGGAAGGAAAAGAAGCAGATGTAGCAGGAGGAGGGGAACTAGGATACCTGGAGAATGCACAAATAGAACATCAAACCCCAGATGATCCGGACTGGATTTTCAAAGTCATATAAGCATTTACAAATGCAGAAAAATGTGAATGAGCCCTGTTACGTCATTTGGCTCATTTACTAAAGGGTAATAACACCTGTAGTCCCATTTCCCAAATGCTCCCAGTGTGCCAGAGATTGCTGCATTTGATAAACACTATCTAATTTAACCCTGGATACAACCCTTGGAGGTAGACACTGATTTCAGAGAAGGAAAACCTGAGGCTATATGCCACCAGCTAGCTAGTGGCAGTTGTGGGACTTGAACAGAAGTTTTTCTGCTTATAATGCCTGAGCTTGTAACATGCCTTGTGAGCASGAAGAGACGCTCAGAACTTATTTCTACAGTAGGATTAACACTGAGTTTTTTTTTAACCCCATAAATTTTCAGATCTTCCCAATGAAACCATGAAATAAATGTGTCACTATAATGAACCGTTATTACTGAACATCTAAGCATTTTGTTCCAAGTCAATCATATTCACACATTCTTACTGGGCATATTGTTGGCAAGGGCTAAAGTCTTTAAAAGATAAGGAACATTCGCAGCCAGAGGTAGGGATTAACTCAGGATTTCCAGCCTAACACCCTAACCCAGCCCYCTTCCTTTTTGGAAGGTTCTCTACCCTGTCTTATCAAGCAAAGTGCGACATTCTGTGGATTGATTTATTTTTTCATTCCTCCTGAGAGAATTCTATTTATCATATAAACATAAGCCATGAGTATTTCCTCCTGTATCAGGAAGAGTCCTTACTACATTTTCTTTTCTCAGTTTTCCTTTTTAACTAATAGTTGCAAGCCCTCATGGATGTGCAAAAGTTAATGGCAGTAGAAATCACTGATACTGAAGCCTGGTGGAAGGGGAGCTGCACATGCTGAGTGACACAATTATTCTTTTTAGGATTAATTGAAGCGACTGGTATAAATCCCTTGTACAGTGTGGGGAGGAGAGACCCCCCCGGGGCTAATCTTATCACCATATGCTGTGGCACTTGGAAAACTGGGCAGGACAACTTCGGCTCGAATGTCTTTATGGCTAAAAATACAAGCAAGCCACTGAGAGATGACTCATGCAGTAGCACTTGACTGAATTCTCCAGAAACTCTTGAACATGATGTTTTCCACCAATGCCCCATCTCTAAGAATGCCCGTAATGTAAATTCCAATTTCTGCTTCTGGAAAAGTAAGGGGACGAGTCGCCAGGGCTCTGAGCATATGAACCCTGGGTATGAGAAGTTACTGATCAAGGTCAGTGGACAAGACCCCTCCTTTGTAATGTGCTGCAATCTGTTGCTGAATGCACAGCAGGGATAAATTTAACCCCTTTCCTTCCCCCATCATCTGGATACTTTGAGAGTTGATAAGATGGAAGTAGGCTGAGGTTCACAGCTCCCGCATCCCCTTAGAGCTAAGCCTGAACGGGAACACCAGGTTCTGCACACAGGGGTTCCTGCTTGCTTTTCTGTCTGGTTGATCTTGCACCAAACCCTTCCCCAATCAACACTCCTCAAAGAGGAAGCAAATGAAGAAGATCTACTTACAATCTGTTGCCATGCCAACATAGATGCATTTCTTAAAGCGACACTCCTGGCACTGATTTCGCGTGACTTTGTCTATAACACATTTTCCTTCATATTTACAGGAATAGGATGGATGGAGATTTTTCTGAATTGTTCTTCTAAAAAAACCCTACATGAAAAAGAAAAACCTCAGATAACAGTTTCATATTTTCTAGATAACGATTCTGGAATTTTGGATCCACATAACTATGAGATCTTGTTTTGGACCTTAACCTGTATTTGGGTCTCTAGCTTTGCATCCTCAAATATAGGATGGTAACCCCAAGAGCTAAAGGAGATGTCATAGGATTGCAGGGTCCATACCTTTTTTCCCATTTATTCAAGGAAATGAAGCTAATAGGAGAATCTAGCACTTGTTTTTATTATCTATACATTGAATAATATAAATTATTTCATAGGGTGTTAAGATGATGTTGAATTTAAGCTATGGGGGACTTTAGACTGGAGATTAAAAGAGCCAAATGCTTTTGAGACTTATTAGCAATTACTTGGTAATTAAGTAGATGCATTAAGTGCCTTTAGAAATTTAATTCTTGTTTTGAGATGGCCAATTCTTTTAGCCTTTCAAACAACAGCACTTAGAAGAAAATTCTGGGTTTTCTATCACATTTCCCCCATAACTAATTTCTTTTCTTCAATGTCTGTAGACATACACCCACAAATTCAATTTGTTTTTCCTGTCTGAAGGATGCTATTCAGTTATAGGGTTGGGTGACTTACATAACATACTCAAGGGGATTGTACCGAAGCTTTCTGGACATGATTCCGAAATCTAAATCTAAATTGCAGGAACTGATAATGGCAGCACTCATTGTGAGGGCTACATTGCAAAGTGCTGTGGACACGAATGTCCTTCTGTCTTCCCCATAACCCTGGGGGTGGGGCTGTACTCTTAATGTCCCCATCATTGGGATTAAAAAACTAAGACTCAGATAGGTTCAGTTGCTTGCTTCGTAGTAAGTTCATGCTGGAACTTGACCTGCAACCCAGGAGTTGTAATCCAAATCTTATTTTGCTTAACTGCTTACATGATATGAAATGACTTTACTGTATTATCTGAGTGAACAGAACATCACTAGTTCCCCTCTCACTTGCCCCTCCAAAACATTTCTTTTATCTGTCTTGGCAGACTGGCAAGTTTGAAGGAGTTCGCTGCTGAAACTTAAAGGGGGCCTCTCCCTTTGTTAGAGAAGTGGTGGGACGGAAATGCCAGCCTCAGCCCACGTTTTTGTTATCCTGGGTAATTTTCTTTGGCTTGGGTGACGTCCATATGCCCACTTTGCATATTCCTCAAGAGACACAAAAGCGCTTCCTTACAATGAAAAGGTCCAACATAGGATGTTATGTTGGCAAAGCAGAAAGAAAATGACTGAGACTTATAGGCTTGATTTGGGGGCCTGTGTGTAAATCCTTTACTATTTGCATTGTTCAAGTTCATGAGGTGAATATGCAGTTACAGGATCCATGGAATCACACACGGGTCAGCTGGGTGAGAGGGCAGCAGTGTTGCTGTTCAGGGTGGGCAATTCCTGAATAGTGTCAATGTCAGAGCATGTCACAGAAGTGAAATGTAAGCTGYGCTACAACCCCCATCCCTAAGGAGGACAGAAGAGGGCTAAAGAAACCCAGAGATTACAGGCAAGATGCAGGGCACAGGCTCAGTGGCAGAGCGCTTGCCTAGCATGGGTTCAATTCTTACACCGCATAAAACTAAACAAACAAAGGAAGGCATGCTGTTTATCTATAACCATAAAAGAAAAAATTAAAAAAAAAAAAACCTTCAGGGCACAGACTGGAGGCCAGGACAACCTGTTTCCCTAGAGATGGGAAAGTCCAAGACAGCCATTGAGGATGTGGACGGGGCCGCTCAGGACAGGCAGGTGGTTTTTCCATGGAAAGCTGGGGTGACCCTCTTCTCCCTCATGTTCTTTCTGATGCCTGCTCCAAGGATAGGACTGGGTTGGGGGCATCCTGAAGAGTCGGCACTAATGAGTGGGTGAGGTGTGCAAGCCAGAATAAGGGGAGCCCCACTTCTCCCCAAGGGCCATCCTGTGCCCTCTGTAATGGGATGGGTGAAATAATTTCGACTTTGCCTATTCTGAAAAAAAGGCTGGTGGTGCCTTGCTACACCCATCATTGCGCCATCTTTCCTGCGCCTACATTTGATGACTTTTCTTGGGTGCTTTATGGACCTATTTCCTTTCATACCCTCCTGAGCTATAATAAGGCATACTTTCATAGGATGATGGACCACTTCATCTCAGTTAAATATAAAGATGCTTGGCCTCTTCATCTTAAAAAGTGACAAAAATCAACTCTTGGGTGTTTTTGTTTTTTTTTTTTTTTTTTTTTTTTTGGTGTTAGGGATCAAACCCAGGGCCTTATGCCCTGACGCAAGCATTCTACCAACTAAGCTTATCCCCAGCCCACAAAAGCAGACGTGCATAGAAGATCTTTATAATACTGTACTTAAAAAAAATCCTTTTACGGATGCTAAGCACACGTTCTAAGATAAAACCCTAAGTCCCTGGGTTCAACACTCAGAGTAAAATAATGACAAAAGCCTTTCTGAGGTCTTATGGAATGACGACATATTTCATTGGTTTGTTGGTGAGCAGAGGTATCCTTTTAAAGAAGTTTCAGTACATCCTGAGAAGATGGACCTATTTCTTAGTGGTCTGAAATGATGTGCCAATCAGTGACACRGGGAGCTGAGTCTTACCCTCCTCGTTCAGTATTTGGGAAGCTCTTAAGCTTTGGGTCTGTCTTAGAAAATAACTGTGGAGCAACATATTTTTTTTTCTTCTACAAAAGATGCATTAACAACTAGCACAAGAAAATCTCTCCAAAAAATTTTACTTTTGTTAGAGCAAAAAAGGACAACATTCTATCCCATAGAAAAAACTCGCATGTTTAAGCAATATGTGAAGCATAGCTTTGGGGRAAAAAAAAAAATCTTTTGCCATTCTTAAAAACTGACCTTTTCCCAATTTGTCATTACCAGCCTGCCCCCATCAAGGAAGCGAGGCAATCCCAGAACCAGAATTCTGATGGAGATACAGGCACAGGAGTTGAGAAAGCTGCCTTTGCTACATGATGTTTTTTTTGTGTGTGTGTGTTTGCTGGGGATTTAACCCAGGAGCACTTTACCACTGAGCCACATCCCCAGCCTTTTATTCTTTTTTCTTGAGACAGGTTCTTGCTAAGTTGCTGAGGCTGGCTTTGAACTTGCCATCCTCCTGTGTAATACCAGGTGTGCTACATGATTTAAAAGAAAAAAAAAAAAAAGAAACCTTAGCTGAATCAAGCCCCAAACATCCAGTGGTTTTGAGAAAARAGGAAAGTTGATTTTAGTGAGGCAGGGACATGGGTTAATAAGCTCAATTCGCCCTTTGTTTAAGTCAATTGCTGGTAATGCATTCAGTGCTCTATAAGGCATATTCAGTCTGGAGAGTCACTTTGGGGAGTTAAGTATTAAATGGAATTTTCATTAGATTCTCTCCCAGAATTCAAAATTTGCCATATGAAATGCTTTAAAAGAATTTCAATGCTGCATAATCAGTCAGGTAAAGCCTTCTGAATTGAGGCTAATTGGTGGTGGGGAAGGCTAGTTTCAATTACYGAGTTTTTGGAATGAGAGAATGTTACATGGTTTTATGACTTTCAAATCAAGCCAATAAAACTGTGCTTTTAAGAGAGACTACAAGTCTCCTAATTAATAAATAGCTGGGACTTACTTGTAATTAGCTTCATGAAATTCCTTAAGATGTTATTTTCATGGACATAATGGCAACCTTCAGCCCAGTCTTTGTTAAAGAACTACATCATCCAAGATCAAAAGGGTCTGGATGAATGGAAAGTTATGTAACAGGGTCTCAAACAACAGTGTTACAAATAAAAGGCCTTGGGACTTTAGGGGATGTATCATGTCAACATTATAAGCACACTTCTAAGCATTTCCAAATTTCATGCACGGCAAATATTCCACTAGGGCAGTGGAAAACCACACCTTGGTTGGTAATGAACTAACAAGTTAATTTTGGGGGTTAGCAGGAGGAGGAATAGGGTATCGGAAGAAGAGGAGATAAGGTGGGTGAAAATGAAGTTGTAYAAATTTTAGTTTACATATTGTGATAATTAAATTTCAGATATAAAAAAGGTCAAGAAAATTTGAAAGTCCCCAGTTTTTAAATATATCTTCATTTRTACTGCATTAGCTGAATGAGGGATATAGCACTGGCTTTAGCTTTTTTTATGATAGACTATTTTTCTAGGCTAGGTTGTCAGGCCAAAAGATGTTTTCCATAAAGATTAATTTTGTTGACAAAGATTCTAAGTAGGCAAATTTAGGCTCGCTTTTGACTGTTGATTACTGGTATGTTCTTGTCAAGGATCTTAAGAAAGGTCTGCAGAGAATAAAATTAGTCTGACTATCCATCAGGTATTTACTACAGCCTTTACAGAAAGCCACTTTGGATAAATTTCAGAACATAATTGAGTCTAAGTAGCCTTAAAGATATTTCCTAATGGATCCCTTAAAAGTGGACAGATTCATGCAGATGAATGGTRGAAGCAGCCTGCGGCAGAGCAGACCCTGTCTCCTCCAGTACTGCAGATAAAATGGGAGGAGAAATGGCATTTTCTTGGGATAGAAATGCATTTAAAAAAAAAAAAGCTCACAGTAAAAGTTTAAAAATTTTCATTTTCTTCCTGCTTTAAAAATACTTGGAGAGGTAAGGAAACCAGATGTCACACTCTCACGGAACTTCATGTAGTTACTTACAATTTGGTGAAATAGTTTTTTTTTTTTTAAATTGTAGATGGATATGATCTCCTTATTCTAGTTATTGAGGATTGAACCCAACACCTCACATGTACTAGCAAGCACTCTACCACTGAGCCCCAACCCTAAGAGTTCAGTTCTGAAATGTGTCAAACATGAAGAGCAGYACCAGACCCCTGGTGGGTCACAGGCCACGAATGCTGGATTTGATGTTAATTGGGAGTTAACCCAGGAAAGGATCAGAAATGGTACAGTTGAGTGCTGGGCACCCAGGGTGCTTACCTTGCAGCCTTCACACGTGATGCAGCGGTAGTGATACCCAGTGGCTTTGTCACCACACACGACACAGAGCTCGTCCTTGTCTAAGTAGCTGGGGATGTATCCTGTAAAAGAGGGCAAAGAGGAAACTGTCAGTCCAGATCTAGCACAGCTAAGGTCATGTGACCAGAGACGGCATGAGTTTCCCAAGAGGACCCATAGAAAAGACAAGACATCCAAACAGTAGCTCACACTTGGAGAGTGAACATCAACCCTTAGAAACAGGTTAGGCCACGTCTGCTGTTGGGAGCCTGTTGGAGCCAGTGAATCGAGTAGAGATGCGAGGATCTGAGACTCCTGGAGTGCTTCCAAATTCTGGGCAACAAGTCTCTTTTCACCAGGCTTATTTCAAAACTTCTCTTAACWGCCACCATGATGGGAATGGAACCCAGACTCTCATGCATGCCAGGCCAGTACTCTACACTGATCTATATCCCCAGCCCTTGTTCTTCAAAGGCTTGGTGCACTTTGGAGTAGAGGTGAACTTGGCTCCATGGTTGGAAAGGTGCGGGGGATCTTTAACCACTCCTGATGTGAAGACAGTGGCTTCTGGGGGTTTATTTTCCACAGGGCCACTAGAAATTGCCAGCAAAGATTAAAACATGGTCTTATTCCTTCTACTTAAATTCTATCTAAAAAAAAAAAAATCTGGTAAATTCATAATACACAATTCAACATTACTGGGTAGTGTGTAAGTAATACAGGCTCCATTGACCAAGGAAGGAAAACCCAACTATAACTCCCTTCGTTAGTGTCCTTTATTAGTTGAAATTTATTGATCCAGGAGGGAAAGTTTTTTTTAAAAAAAAGACAAAACCCGCCTGCTTCCCCTCCTTCACATGGAGAAGCGGCTCACACACGAGAAACTGCTTCAGAAGGGCAAGCTCCGTACACACTAGCACTTCACCATGGAAGCAGATGGTTTCAGATAAGACCAAATAATCAAGGCATGATTCATTGGGGTGGGAAGAAGGGAGAGGCCCAGAAAWCGAATTTATTCTCCTGACTCTGGCTCTCATGAAGGTCTTAGGCTTGGTCAACTTTTCTTAGTTTTAGTAAACATCAGTTGGGTTGAAATGACCATCAGATACTCTCTATTTTACCATGACATTTTCCATAGACCTTTATTAAAATAGGTCACTGAGGGCTTACTCTCCACAAACGGGAGGAAATGAATCCTTTTCATAATTTCTTAGAAAACTATTTTGCTCAGCCTTTCATTTAGAAAAGATGTTACTTCTTAGGAGGTAGATAAATGACTTCAAAGAGATTTGGTAATGTACAAATTATATTTCTAAAATATCACAGCTTCTCTTGGTTTACTTTTGCATCATGCAAACCATGACTCATCTATTGAGTTCACTTCAAGGTTTTCAAAACTCTCAAACTGTTTTTCCAAGGAGAATTCTGGGAGGGATCTGGGCAGGAGGAGGAGTCAAAATGGTGTGTGTGTGTGTGTGTGTGTGTACGTTCGATCACGAATCTGACAACATTGAGTAGGTACTCTGTGCTAAGCACTAGGTAGGTGCTGAGAATATAAATGAATAAACATGGTTTCTTCCTTTGGGAAGTGTAGGCAACTTGGTGGTTGCTCTAGCTCTGGTCATTCCTCAACAAAAGAAAAAGGTGAAAATGAAGGAAAGATCACGAGAAATGGAAATCCACTGGTATCTCACAGTGAGAGACACCGGTTCCCACTTGGGAGGATGGTTTTAAACAAAAATGACAAGTGGTGGAGAGGACGGGTACTCATGTGGTGCGCACACATCTACTTGTAAAGTGTAAAGCAATTTAACAACAAAATAACCCATTTATTAGAACAAGCATCTTCCTTGTAAAGGCAGCACATTTATGTACATATTTGATGGCGTCAGGAGAGCTATAGCTTGACCACTTATACTTTTCAACTGTGTACCCCTGAGCAAACAGAGTGGTATGACCAGATATGTTCATCAGCTTGGCATTGCTGTGACAAAAATTCCTGATAACAACTTAGACGGGGGGAAAGTTTATTTTGGCCCATGGCTTCAGAGATTTAGGTCATGATTGATGCACTCCATTGCTCTGGGCAGGAGATGAGGCAGAACATCATGGTGGAAGGTCAGTGGAGGAAAGCTGCTGTGCTCATGGTGGGCAGGAGAGATGAAAGAGGGGCCACAAGGAAGATGCACACTTTTAAGGCATGCCCCCAGGGACCCACTGCCTCTATCCACATCCCACCTGCCAATAGTCATCACCCAGTCAGTCCATTCCAACTAGGGTGGACTGATTAGGTTACAGCTCTCATGATCTCTGAATAGGGACACCTCATATCCACACCATCATACACGTCTGAGAACTTTAATGACCAGAGCTAGAGTTGCCAAAATTCTGGTAAGTCACCATCTCTCATTCTACCAGCAGGACACCGAGGATTTCTTCCTCTCCTGCTTAATGATTTAGGTGGCCACACCATCTGACTCTGGGGATTCTTGAAAGTTCTGGAATTTGGGACTAACTCATTCAGAGTGGGATGGACTCCTCTCATATTCTGAACTGACAGGGGATAGGTGGTTTGCATTATTTCCTATTTTCTTGGTGGGTGGAGGTGATCAAATGTCTTTAGTTAAATCATCAAACCTCGTTCAGAAATGTCAACCTGAGTTGGTGGCAGTCGCTTACAGGATCATACTAGGGCACCCCACCCGTTGCTTTCTTTTTCTCTAAAACAGTCACAAATAATGATACATAAGTCATTATGCCTTAAGTCCATTATTCATCCTTAAATAACATCCCACACCTAGTGACTGTGCAGAGAGGGATTCTCTGAAGTAACTGGGTACGTACGCCTGGCAACATCGCATGGTCACCTTTCTCCCAGAGAACTTGGCCACTGGTTGCTGTTCAGTTTTGCTGATTCCTTTTCACATGCACCAAATGAGTCACATGCTGGCCAGTGTTTACGATGAAGGCAAAAATGCACATACAACACTATCTCTCCTTCTATAACATGCGGACACTACTGGGTGAGTCAGTGTTGGGTTCTGTCTAGAAACAAACATGAGACACAGTCCTGAAGCTACACTGGTCGTTTGAAGAAATGCAACCATGCTTTGTCCTAGGTAATTGCTATTAAAAAAAAAAAAAAGCCTGATTAAGAACTCCCCAGAAGAAATTAAGACCTCTTTAGTCAGCTCTTCATCACTGTGACCAAAACAATTCAGAAAGGAAAATTCTATTTTGGCTCACAGTTTCAGGGGTTCCGTGTAGGATCAACAGACTCCACAGCTGTGGACCTGAGATGAGACAGAACTTTCTACCATAAAGTGTGGCAGATAAAAACTGCTCAGTTCATGGCAGCCAAGAAACAGATACTTCACTCACCAAGGACAAAATATAAACACCCAAGGCATACCCCCAGTGACCTACTTCCTGTAGCCATATCCTACCTGCCCCGTTAATCCATATCAGTGGATTAACTTACTGACTAGGTTACACCTCTCAATCTAATCACTTCAGCTCTGAAAATTCTTGCATTATCCCACACATGAGCTTTTATGGGACATCTTATATGTAAACCATAACCAGACCCATAATGACATGTGATAATTCAAGACTGATATATTTCTCCGGCTCTTATTTGCTCGCATGCATTACTTTTCCAACGAATGAACTATGCTGTCACTTTATTTAGCATATTTTTATGAACACAGACTACTCAATAAAGGACTTGGGAATTGCTTTTAGTTGACATTTGGCAATGTCTAATTGCTTAGTGTAAAATAGGTTGACATGGTAAAATATTAAGAGATAATTAATTCATCATGTATATAATTCAATGGCTTTTACCGTATTCACAGAGTTGTGAAACCATCACTGCTGTCAATCTTATTTTCATCAACCCCAAAGGAAACCCCATACCCTCCTTCTTCCGTCACCTCTAGCCTTTCTGCTCTAGGCAAACCGATACTCTGGGTWCCATAGATTTGCCCATTCTGGACATTTTTTACAAATAGGATCATACCATACATGGTCTTTTTAGGCTGGCTTTTCCCTTAGCAGAACGTTTTCAAGGTTCATCCATGTTTCGACTAATACTAATTTTTAAAAAAATGATTCTAAGAGAGAATTGGAGTGTGGAAGGGGAAATTATGCAACAGATGGTAAGCTTGGCTTTGGGGTTTAGACTAGATTCCATGCTTTCTCCTGTGTAGGTGAAATCAGAAGTCTGGCTAGATAACAGTATGGCAGGTCCTAGGAGAAACCCTGGTTCTTCTTGCCCCCTTGGCAGACACACAACCCTTATGCAATGGAATATGAAGATGATTAATCTTGATGGTAGATCTAAAGTAGAAGGTGCCCCCTAGGAAGAAGGGGAGAGGGGCAGAGTTTGACAACATTTTCGTGTGGCTAATCTGAACTTTTGGATAAGACTGCTTCCTTACCAGTTCTCTCTGGTCCTGGGAAAGACTCTGCAGCTCACGCAAGGTAAGAAGGACCTAGAAGCTACACTGTTCATCTGAGGAACTGCCTCTGCCAGTTTTCTCAAGTACTTGCTAAAGAAATTTGGTTAATAAACTCCCAAGGCAGTTAAAATGAATTCTGATTATCTTGTAGAACTCTGGGTGGGTTAGGCACAAGATACAGGATGAAACTCTTTCTTCCAATTCTATTAGATTTCATCCTATAGCTCAGACCCTTATTATTTGTTCTTTTTAGATATGCATGACAGTAGAGTTTTTTTGGGCATACTGTACATACACGGAGTAGAACTTATTCTAATTAGGATCCTCTTGGGGTTGTATAGGATGTAGAGTTACCTTGTCAGGCCTTTCCACCCCTGCTACCTTCTTCCACTTCTTTACATACTTAAAACCCCCAAATGGTATATCCCAACATACTTGATTCCTTTTTCATTCAACTTTTGGTGTTTGGAATCAGGCTTCGTACCTTGTTAATCTTTAACCCTGTGATAAATACTGCATCAGTTAAATCACCCGTCCATTCCCATATTGAACAAACATGTATGAGCCTTCTGTGTGTACATTCCTGGGCAAAAACTCAAAACACCATGGACTTTATAGGC